TAACACCAATATCATTTCACAAAGAACACATACATTATCATAACACATATTTATTATCTTTAAATCCCATGCACTCTTTTGAGAACTTAAGGTATGTGAGTACATATAGGTTGTGCACAATGTTGTCACCACAGCTCGTATAAATCCCACTAGGGGCGCGTAGAATTTGTCCCGTAGGACCACTATGTCCTAAAGGACCACTGTGTCCCGAAGGACCACTATGTCCCGAAAGATCACTCCTTAAGAACCATATACATAATACAATTGACCAAATAAGTGTATCGAAGTACCACATATACGTTCCACAGAATTACATATAAGTCTCGAATGACCACGTAGAACCCTCGACTCTTGGCATGCCAACTATACCTATAGCTCTCATAACACATGACATGGACATTACTTTTTATATCTTTTCACATATTTACGTAGGCACATAGTTCACTTTCACATAGCATATTTCTATGTAATTCACATTCACTTATCACATAGTTTTTCACTTTTGCTTGTATTCTTTTTCACATAGTTCATAGTCATGATTCTTATCTCATAACACATGTTCGCATATACATGTTCTCATACAATCCCTTCATTCAATTATAGCATTTAATCTAGCTTATTATACTAACATGTATTCATATCATTCATTTCACATACATAACATATCATATAACATTTTAATAGAAACACATATGAGTCATATTACTTTCACATATATTTTATCATGTATCTTATGATCACATGACCTATTATCATAAATACATGCATTTACATAATTCACACAAAAAGATACATTCAACAATTAGACATATGCATTTACTCATATACCATACATCTAACACCATATCACTACATGTTTATGCTTGAGTACTTATATCATATAATATCATAATTAGACTCATCTTAAATCCTTAACATAACGTACACTTACTATCATGTACTCACTTGGTCTCAATGAACACTCTTAAGCTCTTGTTTTCTTTGCTTATCTTACTCTGCCGACCTATCTGAACTTTGCTTTCGATCGATGCCTACACAATCATATATTTATACTATCAGTATCCCATTGATATACTATAATCTATAATTTCTTAGAATGAAAGAAAGATTTATTCCATTTCCCATTGAAGTGCATCGGTACATTCTACAGTGCATCGATGCATTCTTTAACATGTGTATCGATGCACTATCCATGCATCGATACACAAATCACCTTCGATGTTCTAATCTTAAGGGGGTGCATCGATGCACTCCTTATGCATCGATGCACTAATTCCATTCGATGCTCATTTATTTGAGAGTGCATCGATGCACACAACCCAGAATTTCCATTTTAAGCACGAAATTCACTCTCTTTTCATCTCAACTCTTCATCTTTCACCTCCTTTAATATTCCTAACTTTCATACACACACTTAAACTCATTTATACTCAATAATCACTTCTTTAAACTCAACATTCTATCCTTTATATGGCATTCAAGAATCACACTCAATTTCCAACATGTTCTAAATCTAATTCTAACACTTCATATTCCTTAATCAAGTTGGTGACAAGTCAAATTCAACTTTCAATTTCATTTAAACCCTTTTATTCTAATTTTCACTTGATCACCCGTTATATTAAATCTTCTATAACTTCTTTATCTTTAGTTTTCTATCTCCTTTTAAGTTCTCTTAATCTTTTCTAATGCTCCATCAATTAAAACCATTCTTTTAATTACAAGAAAATCAATTGAAAATCAAACTCACCTTAGCCATGAAGAGCTCATGTTGAGAGGAAGAAGAAACTGAAGAAGACTCTAGAGAAATTATCTTATTCTCACGTGCTTATTATCCTTTATAAAGAGAAATAAGAATATTCCCTGTCAAATGACCATAATACCCTTATTACTTTCAAACTTTGATATTAAATCCATCATCAAAACTTTTCATTTAAGTCCCTAAACTTTCCATATTTTCTAAAATTGGTCACTAAATTTACCAAAATTCTATTCTGGTCATTGACCCGACTTTTGGGATGTTACAATTTGTGTATCGGTACACTGAGGAGTGTATCGATACCCCCAAGAATGAGATGAAATATAAGGTTTCTTGTATAACAAGTTATTATGATTCGATATAATTGAGATAAGATAGATATTGATTTTAGATTATTTGTGCAGTGATCGAAAGCAATTGATTTCCAGTTAGCTTGGTATTTGAACATAGATTTGACAGGATTTGGATTAGACCTTAGTGAGGCAAAGGTGAGTGCAACTTCTCTTTTCATAATAGAATTGAGGAAGGCTTGCGATAAATCAACCTTAGTGTTTTCGATCGAAAAATATTTATTTATTTTATGTTTTATTTCAATGTTTTATTCAATTTCCAATTGTTACAAACTATGTATTATGAATATGTGTTATGAACATATGAGCTTCGAACCAGTGAATGTGAATATATTTTATGACAGAGAAGCTATGTGAATAAGGAACACTTTGAATAAGGACTAAACCTAATTATGTGATTAAAAGTACAATGTATATGTATGAGGATTAGAGGTATAGTTGACATGCTAAGAGTCGAGGGTCTATATGGTCCTTTGGGATAATTATGTGGTCCTCCGGGACAAATATGTGATACTTCGGTGCAACCCTATGTGATATTTCGATGCAACCTATGTGGTCCTTCGGGACAATTATATGGCACTTCGGTGCAAATTACGAGTTGTGGTGACAACATTAGTGCACAACCTCATAGTACTAAAATACCTAGATTTCTTAATAGTATACTTTGGGCAATTGGAACAAAGACATACACAATATAGTTAATCATAAGTATACTTTTGATATGGAATTCAAGGAAGCTCTTTGAAAAACAGTTTTAATAAAACAAATAAGATCATGTTAATAAGTTAGCACTATTGTGTTGCCTCGCTAAATCATCGACTTAGCGTGTGTTCTCTCACACGTAGGTTTGAAGAAGGTTGACGATTGATCTGGGGTTGAGGATAACATACTTTTATGAAGATCAAATCATTGCAATTTAAATGTAGGTTATTGTTTATTTTGTAAAATGTTGGCATGTATTATATGTTTAATTTGAATTGCTCTAGTCGATTTTGTAAACATATATATATTTTGTACTTTGTAAACTCTTACCTTTGAAGTTATCTATGTAAATTATTAAGATATTTTGTAAAATAATTTTTGATTTAGAATTGAATTATTTTCTTTATTTTGATTGGAACAATAAGTTTTAAAATTATACCTATTTGTGATTTTTGTGTGTTTTGAAAAGTTAAATGTGACACCTTAAATTCGTATCTAGATCGGGTATAGATTAGGGGTGTTGCAGCCAGCTTGGCTCGGATTCTTTATTTCATCATCACAATCGTCATTATTTTCCCATAACCATAATTCTAATCCGTTTAGTGGATTAGATTTTCATCTTTTTGTAGCTTCTTGCAAGTTTAGTTTATTTCCGTCATTATTTCCGTCATTATTTCTTTCTTTAATTTATTGTATTATTGTTGAGGATGTGTGTTTCTGCGCATGATCCTGCCACACCTGAACATCTGAAGGAGTTGAGCTCTAGACGTAAGTAGAGTAATTGAGGAGTCCATTAATCAGAGCAGCTTTATTACTGAGGCTATTGCAAGAGAAATGTCTGGAGGCAAGCCTTCTCATTGTCTAAGGTTAATTTCTTAATGTTGCTTAATTCACATTTGCTTTTGCACTTCGATATCTCCATTTCTATAATCCATGAATCATTATGGCTAAGAGTTTTTTTTATATAAATTTGAAAGGAATACAAAATAGTATTTGTTTAAAGATTTTTAAAAATTAATTAAAGAAAAAGGAAAGAAAATATAATATTCTTGCTTTCTTTAACTTCCATTTTAACTTGAAACCTAGAAACCAAAAAAAGGGGGGAAAACACGAAGACAAAGAAATAACATAAAAATAAGAATTTTACAAGAATCAATCAGAAAATATGATTATTGAGTAAGTTAAAAAAAATAGACAAAAAGAAAATAAAAACTAGAAGAAATAAACTAGCCAAATACAATTTTTTTGATATATTTGGGATAATTACGAGACAATATATGTCCGAATACTCTCAACCAATTAATTATGAACACTTGTACTCTTGTTAGTGCTCGAATCCTTGATTTTTAGAGAGGATAACGAGTCTCTTAACTACTAAATTCAATTGGTTCATGCTAGCCAAATACAATTTCTTTTGAGAAAGGGAGACATTTTTTATAGAATGAGAAGGTAATTTCAAAGGCAATAGAAATACAACACCTGTCAAAACAACATTATTTTTTCTAAAAATATCGAGAAAATGAACATAATAGAATTTGAACTTAAGTCTTCTATAAAAAAAACTCTTAGCACTTAACCACTAAATTAATTTACAATCTTGCAATAGAATTTAATACTTGAAGGATCAAAGTATGAGCAATGTCAAATTTTAGTGACTAAATTAAAAAAATATAAATTTAGTGAGTAAAATAAAAGTAAAAAGATAATTACCCTCTTTTATTATAAATGATTTAATTACCTTTTTATTATAAAAGTTTCGGTCTCTGCATTGTACACCGTAAATAAACAATACATGCATGCATTTATATGTACTTTTTTTTCTTTATTGATCTAAATAAACTGAATATATACATAAATATGCATATAAACTACAAGGCCCTAACGTTGTCATTAGTCCTCAGTCGTCACCCCAACACAAATTCATTTCATTCTCATTTCTCTCTCTCATGCAGCTGGGCTGATCATTTTCAGTCTGCAAATTTCCTCTCTCCACGTGAAATTCTCCCCCTCCGCTCGTTTCATTTCTCCTTTTTTAGTTCAGTCACATCAAAACTCCTTAACCTAATCAACCCTCAATAATAGTCATTTTAACAAACACCAGCAAACATCTTCCCTATATTACTACCCTCTCTTTGTCCACTCTTCACTTCACAAAACTCCATCTCTTTCTTTTCTTTGCTCTCTTTCTTCCCCATTGCTTAGAGCATGGAGTCGTGTTTGATTTCAAAAGATGATCATACGACCTGGTGGGTTTTCACTCTTCCAGCCATTTTCGGATCTGAAAACCTTCTTGATATCTATGTTGTGTTTTCCCTCTGTATGGGTTTTCTGTCTGTTGCTCTTCTGACATGGACTTTTTCGGTCGGAGGAATTGCATGGAAAAATGGAAGGAACCATAAAGGCCGCCTTCCTATCCCAGGTCCTAGGGGTCTCCCTATATTTGGCAGCCTCTTTACTCTGAGTCGTGGTTTGGCTCACCGTTCTCTGGCCGACATGGCTTGGACCAGGTCCAACACCCAGCTCATGGCTATTAGCCTGGGTTCCACACCTGTCGTTGTGGCGTCTACTCCTCAAACCGCTCGAGAAATCTTGAACTCCCCACACTTCGCCGACCGGCCCATCAAGCAGTCGGCCAAGAGTCTCATGTTCAGCCGCGCCATAGGGTTCGCTCCCAATGGAACCTATTGGCGAATTTTGAGAAGAATAGCTTCGTCCCACCTCTTTTCAGCAAAGCGCGTGATGGCACAGGAAGCCGGTCGTCAACTAGACTGCACAACCATGCTAAACGACATAGCAAACGAACAGAAGATCCATGGAGTTGTTTCTTTGAGAAAACATCTTCAGTTTGCTGCTTTGAACAATATTACGGGAAGTGTTTTTGGCAAGAGATATGATCAGGAAAAGGATAGTGAAGAACTGGAAGAGCTTAGGGATATGGTAAGAGAAGGGTTTCAACTCTTGGGAGCTTTTAACTGGTCTGATTATTTTCCTTGGCTGAGTTGTTTTTATGACCCTTTTCGTATCAACCAACGTTGCTTGAAACTCGTTCCCCGAGTTAGAAAGCTCGTCAAAGGCATCATTGAGCAACATCAAAGGTTCAGTGAGTTGAAAAGCCTTTCTGATAATGATGATTTTGTAGATGTTTTGCTCTCTCTTGATGGTGAAGAAAAACTCCAAGAGGATGACATGGTTTCCGTTTTATGGGTTAGTAATAGTATAGTTTCATTTCATTTAATATTTGCATGTTAAGTGACATTGAGTTCACTCATTGAGTTCTTTTGTTCTTGTTGGGTCATGCAGGAAATGATTTTTAGAGGAACCGATACGACCGCTTTGTTAACCGAGTGGGTCATGGCTGAGTTGGTGTTGCACCCGGAAGCACAAGCCAGGCTACAACGCGAGATTGACGGTGTCGTGACAAACAAAACCCTAACCGACGCCGACGTGGCGAAATTACCTTACCTCCAAGCGGTGGTGAAAGAAGCCCTACGAATGCATCCCCCAGGGCCACTCCTCTCATGGGCCAGGTTATCCACGTCGGACGTCCAGCTCAGCAACGGCATGGTGGTTCCCGCCAAAACGACTGCCATGGTGAACATGTGGGCCATAACACATGACCCGCAAGTGTGGGAGGATCCACTGGAGTTTAAGCCCGAGAGGTTCTTGGTGGCTGACGTCGACGTCAGGGGCGGCGACTTGAGGCTGGCACCGTTTGGCGCCGGGCGCAGGGTCTGTCCCGGGAAGAACCTGGGCCTGGTGACGGTCAACCTGTGGGTAGCCAAGCTGATCCAACGTTTCAAGTGGGTTCAAGATTATGGTGTGCACCCAGTTGATTTGACCGAGGTCCTGAAGCTGTCTTGTGAAATGAAATTCCCTCTGTGTGCCGTTGCCCTAGAGAGAGAACCAGGGTTTTAGGGTTTTATAATTCCTACTATTATTATTGAGTGTCCTTTTAAGTGTATTTCAGTATAGTATTTAAGCTTGGATTATTAATGCTTTGAGGAAAAGGGGCTCCAATTTTGGTTTGGCTGTTGAAGGCTGCTCCTGAATTTATTTAAGTTTTATTAATTAATAATTAAAATATGTTTCGCTTTTTAATTGCAATGCATGCTTTCTAACTTGTTTTTTTAATAGGTTTTAATTTCATTCAATGGGTTAAATATTTAACTCATACTATAATATCTATGCATTTTAATTTTTAATTTATATAATAAAATAAAATGATAGAATCTAATTATATTGTGTAAAATATTTTAATTTTATATAAATTTAACATCGTTGAATTAATAGAGATAAACAATTGAGAGAAAAAATGAAAGATATTCATTAAAATAAAATGATAGGATCTAATTATATTAGGTAAAATATTTTAATTTTACATAGATTTAATATTTTTGAATTACTAGAAATAAATAACTGAGATTAAAAATAAAAAATGTAAAGATATTTATTAAAAAAATTAATCTCAATTTTTTATTTTTATTCATTCAACAATATTAAATGTCTAAAATTAAAATCTTGTACATAGTCTTAACCCTAAACAATTGAAAACCCAAATTTAGGTCGCTGAGAGAATATTTTTGCTATGATTATCATCTAAACTGAATTACAAATTAGATAAAAGTACAATTCAATTTTAGGGTAAATTACATTAATAGTCACAAATTTTTTAAGTTATTGTTACTTTAACCATTGAACTTTGAAAACTTGTATTATAGTTATTAGATTTCTGTTCACTTTTATTATAGTCACTTTCATTAGTTTTCGTCGCGAAATCTGACGTAACATGTGAAAAACCCTAAAAGAAACATAAAGATCTTTTGAATTGGCAATTGTCGCTATCTTGTCATCATTATTTTTTAGTATTCTTTCCTTTATTGTCCACAATCACAACCATCTATGATCTATAGTAGTAGACAATAAACAACAACAAAACAATAAAGAAAAAGAATAGAAAAGCAAAAGTACCAATTACAAGTTTGGCGAGTTTCAAAAGAATGGAGAAGCCGTCGACCAAATTCAATGGTTGGAAGGTTCTATTTTGCTAGAAGATTGACATAATTTAATTTAAAGTTGATCTAACAATTGAATGTGGCAGATTATAAAGTTTTAATTTTATTTTTAATTAAGATGTGAGGAAATTAAAAAAAATTCTGACAAGTTTGAATCAAAAGAAAAAAAAAAGAAAAGAAGAGGAGTTGAATAATATTTCTAATAGGATAAGCTACTAAACGTTGGTAGGAATAATAAAGAACTAAAAAGGAGTGGGAGCTACCAATTCGGAAGGATCTTAAGGTGCGTTTGGTTCACGGAATGTAAGATTACCAATGTGAATAAAAGATTATCAGGGAATATGATTACTGAGAATGTTGTATTTTGTGTTTGTTAGTTTAGCATGAATATAAGATTACCGTGTTTGATTAAAGGAATAAAAGATTATTGGAATGTATATTTGACTAAATTGTTCTTATTATATATTTGTATAATATTACAAATTGTAAAATATTTATATATTTTCTTTAAAAAATTAAATTCATAATATTTATATAATTTTTTTACAAAATTAAAAATATAAAAAAGGTTTATGAAAGGGTAAAATTTTGTTAAACCTTGAACTTCATATAAAATTTTAATTATAGACTTTTTTTTGTAAATCTAAAATAATTTAAGGATAAATTTATAATTTAACATTCGTATAATTTTTATTATTCAATGACAGAAGGATATTTTTGAAAAAATAATAATAATTTAAGGGCATTTTAGTCCAAAACGCCGGTAATGTTACAATACCTAAAGGAATGGAGGTAATGTCATTCTCAGTAATATACCCCAAAAAATCTACTATTGTTAATAAAACATTACCGGGAATGAGATTCCCGGCCAACCAAACATGGGAATGTGGGATTCTCATGGGATGAGATTATGGGAATCCCACAATCCTTGAACCAAACACCCCCTTAGGATTTTTTAACATATCATGTTAATATTTTTAATGACTATAATGAAAGTGAATTAAAATTTAATGATTATAATACATGTTTTAAACGTTCTGTGATCAAATAGAAAATATTCTAAAAGTTGAGTGATCATCATTGTAATTTACCCTAATTTCTAACTCGTTTGTTCTTACTGTTGTGACGAGTCGTGGATATCCAGCGAAGTGGAACAGTACGGACTAAGAAAGGATGGATGGTGGAATGTCAGATGGGCTCGCACTCCAAGTAAAAACCAAAACCTGATGGATGATTTCTCACTCTCAATCAAACAAGCTCTTGTCACCGGAGGTAGAGCCCACAGCTGCCGACAGGTTTCAGGGTCAACGATGACTGTACGATTTGTTATGTGATTCTTCCCACTGCCTCTGCCTCTCTCGCACCAAAATATAATGCACGCGCATTACCAGTACTACTAATACTCACCTCCACCCTTCTCTCTTATTTTCATTTACCTTTTCTAATACCAAATTTTATTTATTAAAAAAAATGGTTGTCCTTTTTTTTCTATATGTATGAGGTAGAGGTGGTAAGATAGTAGGCTATCTCCAACACTAGGTTGAAAGTAGTTTTTGTAAGAGAACTCCGAATTATGAAATACCTTCCATGGGACTCGATCTCACGATCTCAAGGTTAATAATCTTGTGCTCTACCAACTGAGCTGGATAATCATTTTTTTATTTATTAAAAAAATTCTCTAAATATTACCCATATTATTAAATTTTATCTAAATATTATCCATCATATAATTAACTTTTAAATATGATTATTTAAAAAACAAATTATATAATAACAAACTTGATATTTCTGATCATAATTTCACAATCACATGATCATAACCATAATTTAATATTATTATATTTAATATGTTCTATAGCATAGAACAAGACATATTGAGGCTCATCACCTGATTCTTATAATAATATTTAGTTTAAAATTTGTGTGGCTGTTTAAGAATGGAAAGGCCAACAAAAGCACGTGAAAGGCAGCAATGATTTACTACTGCCAGTGCTGGGAGAGAGAGTTTTGAACTTGAAAGAGTAAAGGAGGTGAGAGAGAAAGGTGCGAACAGCAGCTGATGTACGTGTATTTTAGAGGTATTGTTTATTTTGAAATATAATTTTTTATATTAATTATTTGTTTTATTAACGTCATTTATTCTGCAAATTTATTTATGTCTTATTATTAATATATATATATATATATATATATTTTTAAAAAAATTAAATCAATCATCACATACGGACCAATTGGCAAGCAACAGCTGCAAACCAATTGCAAAGCTGATGGAAATGCCATTCGGTGGCCTGAATGAGAGGAGAGCTCCACCCTGAGAATGGTTATTCGGTGATACGAGAAGTAGGCCTCAATTTTTTTCTAAGAATACCAGAAGCCACCAACTTCCATCAAAACAATATATCCACAAAACAAATAAATTCAATAAATACTTTTAGCCAGAATATCAACATTTTTTTAGATTGAATATTTCAGGGTGAGGGTGATATTCTCATTTCAATTTATTCCATTTGTAAACGTTAAGATTCGAATCTTGATATTACTTTAGGGATCTAAGGTATCATCCCACTAGATCAATTAGTTATTTATATATTTAAATTAGGGGCAGAATCCAATTACATAGTGTATTACATCTTTTTAGAATCGTTGGATAGGGAGAAATCAAATGCTGAGATTAACAGTAGGAAATGTGAAGATATTCGCTAAAAAAATAAGGAGTTAATCTCAGCCTTTGATTTCCCTTCATCCAATGATCCTAAAAAAGTGTAAAACTAAAAGTTTTACACTAGATGTAAGTGGATCCTAACCCTTCAAATTATATTAATTTATGTAATTTAATATCATATGAATTCTATTTTATATGTTTATTAAATTAAATTTTAATAAAATAATATTTTTATATGAATAACTTTTTCAATACTAAAATTTTGAAGGTTATTTCTATAATTCACTTTTAAAAAGTTGATTTGAAGTTTATGTTATACACAATTGAAAATGAGGAAATTTTTACCGATTAGAAAAGTAGATAATGTAAATATAAAAAAATTTAATTTGATAATTAATTTTTTATTATTTAATAATCATAAATCATTATAATTAGAGAATTTTATAATGTGTGCGTGAATTTTAACAATAAAAATTAGGAAAAAGTATCTTATTAGATTACTTCGATCAACCTTTGAAGAAAAAGCTACAAATTATTCATTAGATAATTTGAAAAGAAAAAGAAAATGTGTACAAAGCTGCCTAGGTGGAACCTTAGAATACCTTAAAACCATGGGGATGTATATTCATTACAGAGCATCTCCAATCTTGAATCAATTGGAGCCCATAATCTATGCCAATCACCACTCTCTATATCAAACTCCTTTGATGAACCATGTTAAACTCAGAGCCTCACAAGAAATATACTGAGCTCGGGCCCGTTTCTCGTATCGGGACTCACCATGTAATACGTCTGCGAATCCTTTGAACCGATGACTCGTTCGAAGAAAGCCCGCATGTAGGCTAACTCCCCGTCAGGACCTTCGGTTTCGGTGTTCCCCGGCAAAGCCCCAGCTCCCATTGAAACAGCCTTGAGGAGCTCCATCACGTTCAAATCATCCCCCGTCGCCTCTCGCCTCACGCCGTACCCGGTTTTCTTCCCGTTGCAATACATCATCCACAAAGGCTCGTCGAGCAACATTATCTTGTCCTTATCGGCTTTCTTTTCGCATTCGAGGACGATCCTAACCATCCCACTACTCAATTCCTTCTGTAGCACATTGGTCTGCAAAGCTAACTCCACAACTAACCAAGGCAGGCACTTAGGGTTCTCCTGCAAAGAAAGTGACACCTTACCTTTATGGAACCCAAACAAAGTCCCCGTCACTCGAGTACTCGAATTGATTTTCGACTCGGTCGACACGCCGGCAGTGGGGCATGCGGTGCACTGGCATCTAGGGTTGATGATCGGAAACGCACGGATCACGGATCGGAAAGCACGGACCACTTTGGATTTATCTTTGTCGTTCTTTCGCGATGGTTGGACGAGGGAGATCGGCTGAGCACGCGGGATCACATTCGAATTAGCTTTCGGAGACGTCAAGGACTGAGATTCCTCGGTCGAAGGTGAGAAATCTCCCATGAATGGACTTTGGATCGGATGGGATGCATACAAAAGATGCATATGGAGAGAGATATAGAGAGAGGTGTTGGCAGGCATCAAGGCTATATTAGTTAGAGCAAACTGATAAAATGATAGAAATGACAGGTATTATCTCCTAATGATATGCCTTGTTATTAGGTTTCGAAAATTCAAGCTACATCTAAATGGAAACCAAAGTTGGTTACTCCATTTTCATGCACTGTTCTGTTTTCAAACTTTTACTAATATTAGACAACATAAATGATTATTTTTTTTATAAAACATAAATGAATTTTTTATTATTATGTTTGATGATTTGTATTTAATATTATTTATGTTTCAATAAATAAATAAAATAATATTTAATGAGATAAGTATATAAACAATTACTTCATCACTCCATGTTGCAATGCTGTCATTTTATTTTTTTTAAAAAACACATTATGTCTGAATTAAATATTTGAGTTAATATTAATTAAATTTGTGACACTTAATTTTCTGTGGCATGCTATGTTTATAAATTTAATTTGATTTCTCAATTTATTAAATAAACACTTAATTTTTAACCCATTTCAGTTTGGATGAAGGTATTAAAAATTTGTTTCAGTTTGGTCGGTTGTTGGTGTGAGCTGAATTTGAAGATTTGGTTAAAAAAACTTAATTATGTTTAGTTGTTATTAAATTAAAACTAAACCGTTGGAATAAACTGAATTCAAATATATTATTATATTCGATTTAAATTGTTTACAACCTTAATCGGTTTTATAATAATTAAATATTAAAAATGAAATTTGAGTTTACTTTCTTTTAGTATATATATGAGTTTAATTAAATGAATGAATTCAAACAATTTATTTTAGTATTGAATTTAGACTTTAAAATAAAAATCAATTTTCCTTTAACGAGTATATAGGCTTATTTAATAGACACATGACAATATCAACGGGTTAATTCAAATGGGAAACAGTGTGATAGTGCTTAATCACGTCTCAAGTTTGAGTTTTTGTATATGCAGAAAACCCTCGTTAGAAGACTCACCATTAAAGCCAGTTGTGCGACTTGTATCAATCTGAATAAATTAGAGAGAAGAAAAAAAATAGACACAGGACAATAACAAAAAAGATACGAAGCATATTTGCTATTTCTACAGTATCCGGACTTCCAGTGGAAAAGAAACATATGAAGCCTTGCCACACCATAACGAGAGCTTTTGATGGAATTAGAAAAGGGGTTATGAAAGATTGATGTTCCCTTGTTAATTGGGTCATGACATATAACGTGGAATTTGTGGTTATGGATATAGCCCCAACTTATAATTGTTTAATGAGGAGACCTTGGATCTACTCCGTAGGAGCAGTCCTTTCAGCACCTCCACCAAAAGCTGAAATTTATTATGGAAGGACGTTTAGTTGGTATAAGTTGTCAAAAAAATACCATGATGGGGTGAAACTCACTGTCGAAAAAGGAGCTAAACTGTGAAGGAGCTTAGGAAAGTACCTACAGGAGTTCAGCAGGGATTTGGAAGTTGGAACCAATGTTATCTAGTGAAGATATCAAGGGGAACCAATGCCTTTAAACTAAGTTGAATACACACACACAGATAGAGAGAGGAGAACTAAACCGCCTAAGTTTGCAGCTAATTTCTTCCTTGCCGTAGTAATATTCTTTTAATTAATGCAGCCTTATCTTTTACTTAATTTTTAAGTATTTCTTATGCTTTCAAAAGCTGCCACTTCATCCTTGTATTGTCGCCTCAACTTTTCTTAATTGATATGATTTTCTTGCTGCAACATGGAGCTTTAAAACATTTGCCAAGTGTGTTTGCTGTCCATCTTTAATTCTTACCGCCTCAATCTCTCCCATATGTTGTTGCAATTTCATCTTCTGAAAATTGCTTGCTGCAGATGAATTCCATTTGTTGCCACACAAATGTTTTGCCGTTGTTGCCTTCAATTCTTGTCACGATATACTACTGCCACATTTGCTTCATGAAATTTCCAGCTTTGCCGACATCCATAAGTAAAATCAGATTTGAATTCTAACAAAGAATGAGTATTTGAGAAAAACCTTAGTGAAGTCCACTAAAAAAGCATTTGAGAAACTCAATATCGATGTTGTCGGGGTAAGAAGATGTTGCAGCGAGGAATATATCTAGAATTTGTCCATGTCCCCCAGGCTATATGATGAATAATTGGATTGCTATTGACCTCTTCAGAGGGATGCTCAGAGAACAAACCTTTTGCTTTAAGCCCGAAAGCAATAAGAAATCTGTTGTGAGGGCTTATGTTTATCAGTTAATAATTAATGCTTGCATTTACCCTGTTTTATTCAATCCTTTCTCATTTTTTCGTTCCATGAAACATTTTTCCTATTTCTTCATTTGTTTGCTTCGCTATATATTTTCTTCATCATCTTTTTAGGCCTCTTGATATCAATTGTATGAATGATGCTAGCATTAGTTCAAGGGTTGATTTTAATCGAGTTATATGAGATTGATTCCGACAAACATGATGAGGATTATGAATTACCTTCTGATCTCCTAAGAGTGATAGAGCAAGAAAACAAGTAAATTTAAAATAATGTGAATCTAAGAAAAGAATTTAAAGACGTACCATGTTTGTGTTAAACACGAATATTGTAAAACACAAGCTTCCATTGAATGTAAGCCCATACAACATGAGTTTAGAAGAATGAGGCTCAAAATGTTGCTTCAAACAAAACAAGCGATGAAACAATTCGATTGTAGATTCTTACGAGTGGTAACTATTCAAATAGATAACAAACGTGATCTTCGTTCCAAAAAATAGAAAAAAATAAGAATATATATGTTAACTATCGCAACCTCAATCAAACCAGTTCAAAAGATAACTTTCTTTACCCAGATTGACACTCTGGTAGCTAACACAACAAATCATTGTTTGTTTGTATTCATATACGGTTTTTTGGGATACAATCAAATAAAAATAGTTCCGAAAGATTTGGAAAAACTACATTCGCGATAACGTGAGAACATACCAAAGAACTATGATAACTTTGTTCCATATATGATACATAAAAAGATTGAAGTTTATATTGATGTTACGATTGCTAAATACAATACAAGAGAAGGGCATTGAAGAACCTCATAAAACTCTTTGAAGGATTGAGAAGATTTCCGTTTAAACATTATATGAAGAATTGATTTTTGTTTTTCGATCCAGTGGTCGGTGGTATCATTCAACTTGGGGTACCCCGTGAAACGTTCATATTGTAAGCCCAATCACGATTTCTGCTATAATCTATTGGCCCACTTTCACGCATACGGCATACGGCCATGAGAATTAATGGCTTTTGTTTCACTAGCCGGTGATCTCTACACCCATTGCATTTTCTCGCAAATCTTTTCTTCTTCATTCTTCGTGAACCTCTTATCATACCACAAGGATACGGCTGCTCCGTACCGGATTCAAACCTCACTGTTTTATTCGAACTGAAGCTTGTATAAAGCCCCAGCCAGTTACCTTGTAAGAACATAGGGCATTCCAAAACCATGAGATTCCCGGAGTTTAAAATAGAAATACACAGCAGTCTGCTAGTTTTTCACATTGACTTTGTTCATAGTACAATTAAGTTCGAACAAAAAACGGCTCTGGCGGATAAAACAAAGACATGCTCAAGCTGTATCTGGACTTTAAGCACCTTGAGCTTTAAGAAATCTTTCAAAACCTTCTGAAAATGCCTCAACAGAGTATTCTACAAATTCCTCCTATTGTCACAAGATGAGCATCTGCTTAATTATCTAAAGAGTAATAAAGCTACAAGTTTAATTTTTTCCTCCTAAGATACCGGCCTTTCATGGGGCACTGAATGAATGCTCCCAAAGCTTTTCCGAGTAACAGAAAAATGCAACAGATGATGCTCTCGCAAGCCAACATGTTCTTTAGAGCGTCTCTCAACAACTTACACTAGATCCCAAATGAGACGTCCATTAAAGAACCTCATGAGCCTTCCCATAATACCTGTTTATGAAAGGAGACTGCAAGAAAGAATCACAAAACATTCAAATCAAATTCAGAAAATTTTCAATCATATTATTATATTCTTGATAAAATTAATAATGAGAAATGCATTATGACTTGTTGACTCAGCAGAATAAAAATATAAATGTGACATTCTGAATCCTCAAGATGATATTGCTTAAGTATGATCTTAGTGGACAAAGTTACTGAAGATGTGTTATAGACTGTAAAAAAAAAAATTATTCATAAACCTCACAACATGAAGACAAAATGAGCTGGTTATGATTTCATTTTAATGCAAAAGACGTTGATTATGATTCAATACGAATTCAATAAGTGACATGGATATTAATTGAAATTTACCAAGCAATGTTTGCATTATAAGCAATCTCATGAACTAAAGGAGTTACAACCACCAATGTTATTTGGACTTGAGTATAAGTGTCTGATATAGGTATGTTTAAGTTTTTTTTCTAAATTTTTCCATGCATTTGGAGGGTCAAATCCCAAATGTGTAGAACAAAGGTGTCAATAATCATATTTCAAGAATAACGAAAATTTGGAGGAACATAAATAACTGTCGTAAGAATCTACGTAGAAGTCACAGTTGTTACATTTTTTTTTTGATAGAAAGGCCCCATTAAAATCCTCCTTCAATCCCTCCATGTTATGAGAGTAACATGAAGGAACAACGAAGGAGGAAAAGAGAGCCAAGAAAACTTTTATTCATAATAACCAGATTACAAGCTTGAACGAACTCCTACACTTCCAACGGAAGAACATAAAACTTAACACAACATCCAACAAAACAGGGAGGAACAATTCCTGTTAAACAACACAACTATAACCAAAATCACCCTATCCCATCTTTAGCAAGTTTATCAGCTTCCCAGTTTGCCGCCCTTGAAGTATGCCTAAAAATAATATCCTTTCCAATCAAAAGTGAAATTATGTCCTTCACCAAGGATAGATGCAAATGAGGGGTTAGACCCAGTTTAACAGGAGTGTGTAACTCGTTCGATTTACTAGTCCTAGAGAAAAATATAAAACAAAACTAATAGAAAAAGTAATCCAACAAATTTTACTATTTTAGAGTTGCTGCAGCATATTTAAAGCAGACCATAAGATTAATGTTTATCAATCGATGAAACCCAAAAATCAGAACTGATAAATTATGTAACAAGCACTCAGAACAAGATTATTACCTATAAAGAAAAATCTGCTTGCATAAAAAATATAAATAACCCCATCTAGAAAATAATCAGAACTCACAAAACAATTTAACAAAATAAATAATTACATCAGGAGTAAATCATAACAGCTTACCTTCACATTTGATACATCGGGAGCATCCGGAGTATGAACTGGGTAGAACTTGTAAAATCTCATGTTCTCAAATGCTGCTCTAGTTTCCTCACTCATTTCTTCAAGGGCCTTTTTGCGGGCTTCTCTTGCCTGCAGAAATGAATTGCTCGAATTACTCATCCTGACCAAACTATATTTTTATAAGTCAAGAAGCAATGTTACCAATGATATACCTGCCGATTAGCTTTCTTTGCTTCTCTAACTTTCTCTTTAACAAACTCCTACAAAATCAAAAGCTTGTCAGGCTGAAAAGCAGTTATAAATATATGAATCCACAATTAATTGGTGGATATTCAAACAAACTTCACCTTAAAGGCATCCTTTTGATCTTTATCTAATTCGTCTTCCTCAATCAATTTATCAGTAAACTCCTGCATATTGGCAGATACAATTTAGACAGAAATTCCTATGACAAGTAAATAACAGCCAAAGACTGAAGTCTACAGCAAGGAACTGAAATTGAAAACAAATTCCAAGCTACCCATTCACGTAATTCAAACTTCACAAAAAATCATGTTAATTAGACTGTAACATAAAGATGAAAAGAGATAAGCTTACATCAAGTTCATCCAACTCCCAATCAAATTCACAAAATACCTGCAAGACCAGAAAGGATGTATTAATTTACATAACACTTTGCAGAATAGCTGCCTCGGCTATCCATTTGAAAATGGTTACATACAGTGAATTAAGGAGTAGTTGCCTAGACACTAAGGCACAACTAAGTCTAGAAAAGTACCTCAGAGGCTCAGACCCTTACCAATCAAATAATTTATTAAGGTGCAAAGCAAAGCTCAAATGAGTTCCCTTTTTGTTTTCACCTATTTTCCTTTAACAAGTTTATATTTCTATTTGATGAACACTGGACAGTTTGATATTAATAAGAAAAGGATAACATCTAAGCAAAGGAAAATTAAGCACTATAGTCTACAGTAATGATGCTTAGTAATGCCAGATCTTTGCATGAGGCAAAGGTGTAGGGTTAACTTCTAAAGTTATAAGAGCACCTATACTTAAGTTTACAAGCATGTGCAAACCTCAGCCTCCACAGAGTTTGAACTTCAAACCTCAAAGTTTCAAACCATCGGAGTGTCAGACATAATACATAAGTACATATGACATTATGTGTTAATGATTTTAGGGATTAGCTTTTTAATCACGAGAGCACCTCTATTTCAGCCTTGAGCCTTAAAATAGAGGCTCTAACTACAGTGAATGTAATAGTTCAATCAAAACATGTCAAGCTCAAACCCTAAAATCAACCCCATCCACTCATTTATAACCAAAAAATCCAGTGTTGGTCATAATTAATTTCCTCAGTAGATACAGAAACATTACCGGCTTTGGTTCTGCTGGAAAAATTATTTGAACCTCAGTGCTTTGTTCAAGCTCATCTTCCTTCAAAGGCTGATAGAAATCTGTCAATGGAGGCATGCCAAACAACTTAGCAATAAATAAGGGTTCTTTTTCCTTAATTGGTTTCTCATATTTTGCATAATATGTGGGATACAGAGATATCTAGAAAACTCACATGGCAAACAATACTCGTATTTCTTGAGACGATCTATTTTCATTTGTTTCAAAGCAACCCTGCAGAAGAAATTCCAAATACAAAAAATGTTAATCAAAATACATGCATGCATTAGGAACACACATACACCCAACATTCAAAGAGAGAATATATATGATCTAGATAACGAAATGTAAATGCCAAAAGCTTACTCGAAATAATTTTTCAATCTATACAACACAGAAATTCATAGGCTAAAATAAGTATCAAACAATCACCTAGGCTCATTCGTTAGTGGACATATTAAATAGCCCTTTATAGAAGGAAATTTCAGTGGGAAACCACACATCCAGAAAGATCCAAACATTAGAAATACACATTGATAAGAAAGTGCTGAAGACTCTGTGAATGACCACAAGTTCCATTGTATTGTTATTTTCAACAAGCATCAGCATTTCATTCAGTGAACTGTTTGCAAAAATAAGCAAACCTCATCCAATACTTGAACCCCCACCCCTTTTTTTCCTGCGGCCTGCTACACAATATACAAGTCTAAATAAAATAGCAATTTCTTTAGTGAGAACCAAGCAAAGCATAAGTGGCCAAAGTTAACAATCTCAAACCGGAACAATTGAAATGAAGACACTGTGGTTGATTTACTATAGCCGACAATCTCATGCTAAAGAAAAAGGGGGGGGGATATTAGCAAGCATAGTGTGCACAACTGTACCTTCTTTGAGTGCAACTTAAGATGAATATCTGAGATTCCAGTCTATCTACTTGGCTGGCTCTGTAGAAGAATCAAAATGTACAAATCACCTCACAGTTTGGTTCTAGATCAATTCAAACTCAAAAGTAAATAGAACAAAAAATATATGATATTTCAATTTATAAGCTTGTCCAATCTTATGGATGAAATAAATTAAACAACTCCTCCGTATGAACATTAAACCTGATTAAAAAGAAAAAAACTGAGTACCTATTCTCAAGTGGAATATATGGAACCCAATCCATTTTCATTTGTTTCATAGGAACAATCTCCTCAGCTTCTCTCTGCACTGAGTTAATCCCAATCTTATCTGACGGTGGGAAAGGAGAGACAACCTGAAGTGGACAAGCAAAAGTCAAAGATTATTCAGTATGAAAATACAGGATCATAATGGAAACAACTACTTTAAGCAAATTAATCTCATAAACCATAAATAATAATGTCATTGCAGTCGCGGAAAATAAAAAACTGCTGCTAAAACAAGTATTCATTTATTAATTATAAAAGAAAACTAAATTGAAAGAGTATTTTTAACTCACAAAATCTAGACTGTTGCTAATTTGATCCAAATTAAATAAGGAAAAACAAGGTACCCTTCCATCAAAAGAAAAATATAATAGATTGAAACTGATAAAAATAAATCATATGGAAAATGAATCATTTCACATGTAGTTTGAGATGGTGATCAAAAACCTAATGTTGTCCACACCTATAGAGAGGTGAAGTGAATACATGACTTCAAAGCAGCATATAGATACTATTCAATAAGCCTTCAGCATTAAAAATGCTGCAATCACTTTGTCCATTTATCACAAGATAAAAGGGAAACACCCCTTGAATCGAGTTAGCATGAAAAACATTAAAAGCACTTCACAGCCATGTTGGACGACTTACAGCCACAACCACGGGTATACAAATGACTTTGTTTTCTCCCTTGTAAGGGACCAATTGAGCTGCAAAAACGGAAAAGGACTAAATTAATAAGTGTAATGGATGGACAAAAAGGACAAGGTCAGAAAAATTGAAATTTCAATGTTAGTAAAAGAAACTTATGGGAACTTGGCACAAATAAAGAAACCACACAGACTTTCTTTCTTCTTAAGATGGTATAAGTTAAATAAAAATAAAACAAACAATGCAGCCAATGGCATAAAAAACATTTTCTCCATCGAGGAATTGAAAATTGTCGATATAAAGGTGTGAAACACTAGAACCAAAGCAGTGAACAACTCACGCTCTGTGCAACCAAAGAGATAAGCCTTCTTTCCATATAGCTTTCCCCCCTCTTCAAATGCATCCTGACCAGAAACAGAACAGTAAAAAATTCCTGTTAGCTTTAAATGTGGAAAACAAAAGCAGCAAGCAAGGAACTAAGATGAGAACATAGAAAGCAAAAAAATAAATAAATAAATAAGTTTTTTCAACTGACTTCTAGATTTGAAAAGTTCCAATTGTATTGGTAAACAGTGTCCAATTGATCCCACTGCCACAACAAGAGAAAAAAGAAACTGTAAGCAATAGAACTTAAAATCATCAAAAAAGACAAACCAAAAACAAAAACTAAACATGTCAAGCTCAAAATTCCAACCTCTGTTCCAACAGGAAATGCAGCCTTCCATAAATCCTCCTGCACAATGCAAATTGACAATTTTCATCAAAAACACAAAAAAACATAGCAAGACTTTTCTTCACTATCATCTCAAATAGATAATTATCCAAGCACTAAATTTGAATCCATTTCAGCTTTAATCCTCACAAGAGAAGGCGAGCGTATCACAACTCAAATTTGTAACCGACGCGTAACCAGAATTAAAAGTTCAAAATTCAAATCAGGAGAAGTAAACGGATAACCTAAGCCTTTTAATGTCGCATTTGTTCAGAAATTGAATAAACCTAAACAGTGAAGTCATGAAAAAAAAGAAGCCCTAATGGCAATCCTATTTGGCAAAATAACAACAAATTCTAAACTTCACCTCAACCAACAGTAATAATAGAAAAACAAAAGGCAGAGAAATCTTATACCAAGTTACGCGTATCTTCAAAGTACTCAGGCTCGGGTTGAGGCTTGGAGATCTTAGCACGCTTAGCTTTGGGAGAAGGTTTATGGTTCTCCTCCCGATTCTGTTGCGAAGCTGTTACTTGCGTATCCTCTTGTTTCTGAGAGGCGGCTTTTCTCTTTGCTCCTTTCCTCATTTGGTTATTATCAAAATACAACAACAAAAACAAACAGGTAAGGATGAAGGCAACGGCAGGGAAGATTCGGGTGAGTGTTCTAACGTAGGAGCTCTGTGGATTTTCCTTTTTTTTTTTTATGTGTGTTTTGTGAGCGTCAATCCAACGCGGTGTCGGCTTACCAAATTTTGAGGGTTTTATTTGGGAGAGGCGGGGAAAGGCGGGGCCGAGGTAATTAAAATTCAAGGGGCTGATTGAACTGATTTCAAATGCTTTATTTAAATAATGCAAATCCTCAGCGTACGGTCATTTTTGTTTGGTATGGTATCTGTATTTTGGTTATTTGGGATTTGGACTAAGCCATCCCTCTACTTTGTTTGGATACTAAAATTTGGCATCAGTGGTTTTTTTATTTTTCTAATTAATGTATTTAAAAATATTGCTATTTAGTAATTTTTTAAGTAAAATGATGAATTTTTAAAATAAATAAATTAGTGTTGTTGTTATAATATATCAAAATTTTGAATATATTTAATCTCTTAATAATCTTTAATTTAAGAGTTTAATTATATTTACTTTAGGGATTATATAAAAAGAAATAAATATTTTATATAAAAATTAAAAAAAATCAATTTTATATATTTTAAAATAAAAAAATTGATCTCAATTAATCACTTATATAATTTTAAAATACTATCGATATCAGTTACATGTTTATCAATAATGCCCTAAGAATTCATATCATTAAATAAACCGTTCCAGAAACTTTAGTTTATAAAAGGGGTAAATTACATAGTTGGTCACTTTTGTTTCAGTTTTATAAACATATGGTTATTAGATTCAAAAAAACATAATACATAGCCACTTTCGTTTGATTTTAATTAAGACGTAGTCATTCCGTTAGTTTGATGATGTGATATGTTAGTAAAAAGGTATAATTTTTACTTTAACCCTTGAATTTTAAATAAAGTACTAATTAGGGATCATTTTATAAATACAAAGTAATTTAGGGATAAAGTTTTAATTTACTCTTTTTTAATATACTTTTCTTCTTCCCCCAACTTCCCTCCCCACTTGCTCCCTTCTCTTTTGCTTCCATGGCTAAGGACAATGAAAAAGCGAGTAACATAACCGCTGGGAGTGGTACAACTTAAACCATTAATGGAACAACTCAACTGGGTAAAAGATATGCCTATTCCAGAATTTGGAACTCTCCAAGCATGGGAAGCTCGAGCAGGTGCTGCTGGGCGTGGTTTATTAATACTTATGTAGTATTGATGCTAAACTTTGGCACATTACTTGTGTAAATTATTGTTAGTGTAATTTCTAGACTATTTCATTCTTTGAATGGTATTTTTCTGGTCATGTTTCCAGATTTTGGAAATTCAAATTTGCTCAAAACCTTAATCGAGTATTCATGGATTTCATGCAACATGCTGATTAGCTAAAGGCATTGCTTCTCATTCAAAAATATCAGTTTTCCAAACTCTGCTGGAGTTTGGATTTTCCGTTCTTGTTATTTTTACTAGAGATTTGCCTCAACAGTGTTGAGACTTGAGCATGCCATTTCTTAACTTCAAATACTGTATATTCTACCATCAAGTTGGATTGTTATTAGAGCTTTTTGGCCTTTGACAGGTTGAAGTTGCTTTTTCTGGTCTTGATAGCAAGGAAGATATCAAAACCGAAAGTGCAAGCACATCCTTGAAATTTTTGCCACCTTGGATGATAAAGCGAGGAACGAACCTGACAAAGGAACAACGTGGAGAGGTCAAGCAGGAGGAGTCAAAGATAGATGGCTGTTCAGCACAACCAGATTTTAAGATGACAAAAAGTCGGTCGTTGAAAATCATGATAAGAATAATATACAGGTATGTACAATGAGATGGATTGTTATTCTTTCCTTCATCTTGTCTATGCCATCTAGTTCTTTGATTATTTTTTCTTTTGCTTTTCCTGTCCTAGAAGTTTTACATTTACTAGAATTGACATTCTTTTTCTCTCCATTTTATATTGGAAGGACGAGTGCCTTAAAGCTTATTATGCTGTTCTGTATAAGAAACAACAAGAACTAGAAGAAATGGCTAAGAAACAAGGCGAATTGTCAGACATTCCTCTGGAAACTGGTCTTTCTGACTCTTCTGAGCGGCAAGTTGGCATGAAAGCTAAACGTGAAGATGATGATGAGGGAGATGATGATATTAACTGGGAAGAAGATCTCATTGCAGGTAAGCACTGGTTTTTATTTTTTATTCAGAGTATAAAAGAGAAGGGAGCAAGTGGGGGGAGCGAAGCTGGGGGAAGAAGAAAAGTACATCAAAAGGGTAAATTATAACTTTGTCCCTAAATTACTTTGTATTTATAAAATAGTCCCTAATTAGTATTTTATCTAAAGTTCAAGGGTTAAAGTAAAAGTTAAATCTTTTACTAACGTGTCACGTCATTAAACTAATGAAACTCAACGTTTCAGTGACCACATCTTAATTAAATAAAACGATAGTGACTATGTATTATGTTTTTTGAATCTAGTGACCATACGTTTATAAAACTCAAACGAAAGTGATCAAATCTGTAGTTTACCCTTTATAAAAATATTATTGATATCCAACACCTGGTATGAATACCATTAGGAAAGATAGATACACCTTAAATTGAAAATGGGTTAAATTGCTTCCTGGATGTATGAACTCTTCATATTTTACATCCTTAGTCTCAAAAATCTATAATAAGTTCAATATAGACCTTAAATGCTTAATTATGTGTTCTGCAAGTTTATGGTTCGTTTGATTCTACCATTTTTCTAATTTAATTTTGTGAATATCTTACCTGACTCATCATTCAGTCTGAATAAGAAATGTTACATAAATTGTATACCATCACAATCCACAAATAATAATTATAATTGAGACTCATGTGTCACTCTAGTGAGGTCCCGAAAATAGTGGACAGACTGCCTTTTGTTGGGTGGGTGGTTCAAGACTGACACCACAGGTACTCGTAGAGGCATTTGGTTACTTCGTCGATCAAACTGTGCCACCACCAGTGAGCTGTGTGACTGAACATGAGAACTATGCCACAATGAAAGTACATTCACAAAACTCCCTTTTGCTTTTGTCTGCATCAAATGTTATCCGTAGGTTAGAGGAACGTAGACTACTATGGGAAAATTTTGAAATTAGTTGCTAGTCTCCACATCTTTCCTTGGTTCGTGATGAGTGATTTAAATAGTTTTGTCTATTGTTGACAAAAAAAGTATACCTCTTCCAGGATGTCATAATTTGGATTATGTCATTATTGTCCCAGAAGTAGTTCATTGGATTGCTTGAACTAAGAAGGGCAAGAGGAGTTACATGATCTTAAAGCCGGACTGGAGAAAACTTGTGATAAACTCGAATAAGGTTTCATCTAGAAGGTGCTACATTTTTTCAAATTTCCTGAGTGAATACGACTCAACAATGGATTGTGTATCCATCACTACCTCGGTTATCCTAAACAGATCAAACCCTGAGAGTTTTCTACCTTTAAAAGGTATCAGACAAGGTGATCCTTTTATCATCTTATTTGTTCATCCTTTATCATCTTTTAAAGGTACCATACAAGGTGATCATTTTATCATCTACTTGTTCATCTCTGTACGGATTGAACACCAAGTCTAGGCAAAAATCACAGAGAAAGAAATGGCAACACCTAATAATTTAAAAGACAAAGCCTAGAATCCCATTTGTTCTTTGCGAACAATGTCATTCTTTATGGCCGTGCAGACAAAAAGATTACAGAGAGAGAGACTATCTGTGGGATCTTGGAAACCTTCATGAAGAAACCTGGCTGGATGATTATTAATGAAAAAGGCAAGCTTTGGGTCAAATTATTCATTTCCAAGTATGTGCCCAATAAAGCAAGGCTACGCTAAAAACAAAATGCATCGATCGTTTGGAGGAATCTTAGGGGACTTCGTGGTTTGCTGGAGAAAGGTCTTTGGTGGGTTGTCAATCATGTTGCTTGCTCATTAGGAAAATTGGACCTTTGCGGTAGGTAGAAACTGGTGGGAGAGAGAAGGTACTAGCGCTCTTTCAATAGCTTTGCCTGATGAAATTCTGCTCTTGCTTATTAGCACTCCCCGCTCAAACACGATATCCTTTGCTGAAACGTGTCTCAATCGGGATCCTTCTCCATAGGAAGTGCTTATGACATGATTCAAAATGGAATCACCAACACTCGTTAGATCATTTATAAACTGTTGTGCAAAACTAGACTACCACCTAAGTGTCAGTTCTTCACTTGGAATCCGTATGAGGGAATGCGCAATCACTCAAGGCTGGTGGAGGAACACAACCACCATCTTCTCAGAAGCAATGACGAATGGGGGGAATGACTCATTGCAAATTGAGCTCGGGTGCTTGGTATCATGGATAAAAAATACGGAATACCCTGGGTATTGGTGTTTTGCTTCGCCCTATGGGAAATATGGTTAACGCGCAACACTATTACCTTTGGTAAACTGAAGACCTTAATGACCTCCTGAAGCTATACAAAGCAGTGGAATTCTTTGCTACTGTTTTCCAAGTAAAGATCCGACCTTTTCGTTATATTGTTCCAGTCGTTGGATGAACCCCCTGGAGGGATGGTGTAAACTCAACACCAACGGCTCCTCCTTTGGAAATCCGGAAGATCTGGCACTGGTACTTTTCATTCGCAATCACCTTGGCAAGCGGATAATAGGATCATTATAACTTACAGAGATTCTAACTCTTGGGGTTGGACATGGTCAAGCTTCACTTTCAAATATCTGCTTGAAATGCAATCCATATGCACAAGGCATAAATATGACCAGTAAAATGCATAAACTGAAAACCCTTCAATCCACAAAAAATATATAATAACAGTTAATTGACTACCATTTTCCATTAAAAAAGCACTAACAGGGAAAATTATAAAAAAATCTCCAATATTATGTTTTCTTATTAACCAGTCAGCCAGGCATGTTGACAGCCAAGATAACAAATTTTAATTAGTAACAAATGCCATAGACCATAGTACATCAAGAAATACAGCCATGAAGTATAAGCAACCATAGCAGTGTAGCAACAACTTGACCTGATTTCATGGAACAAAAGATTCAAGACATCGGCAGTGCGAACGTAGCTGGGCATTTTGATAATAAATCTTGTGCTTCATTTTGCCTTGCAGCTTTAAAAAAATCCTTCAAAAACACGAAGAACAACTGAAA